GGTGGGCCTGGGCCTGGCGGCAGGGCTGCTGCTGGGGTTGCCTGTGAACAATGGTAACTGCGCCAACATGAGAGAGCGATGCTACCCGAGTCACGTATTGTTCCAAGCTAGTGCCAGCTGCAGAGGGGCGAAGCCCACGTGGTCGGGTGATTATAAGCTGGGAGGTTCTTGGCTGCACAGAGATGCCAACTACTTTATAAAGAGGAGCGAAGCTCCGGGGTATAGAGTCGCTGCTTATAGACTGTGCGCAGACCCATGGCTCCGCTAATGGGCCGAGGTCTCTTCCCCATGTTAATGAGTTGGCGGGTAATGCAAAGCACCAAGGCCCTTGAACTGTGTCACAGATCTAGCTATGGAAGTGGGTTAAGAAGCCTGTCGTGTCAATCCGAAGTGCACCCAGGAGTCCAAGGGTAGCGGATTTGCTGTCAGCGGTGCAGAGTCATTTCTGAAGCACAGTGGTGGCCATGAAAACCCTCAGGCCACATCCTTGGCTGGTGTAAGCTGCCGTAGCTCTCCTGACTCTCACGGAGCTGCACTTGCTGAGGAGCTGAAGTAATGTTTGCTTCCTGGCTGGCTGCCAGGAAGCAAACTGCTAGAGTGGGTAAGGGCTTGTCTACCCAGGGAAACTGACGGGCATAACAACTCCCATGTGGACGCTGCATTCCAAACAGTGGGGTGCTGCCTATGTACACAACACATGCACTGCGTGCCCATGTAAGCCCTGAATGTGTCTTCCTGACCAGCTGTGCCCACAGGACGATTCCATCCGGCCCCCGAACATGCACAGAGGATGCCATTTTGGGATCCTCCACGCAGCATGACCTCACAGGCCCCGTACGTGCGAGGTCATGCCTTGCACGCAAGTGTAGAATTGCATGCGTTACTAAAAATGCCCTGGCACGCTCCGGAGTCCATAAATAAAAGTGTCTTTATTCCAGAATAATCATTCCACTGCCCAGCGTCTGTATTTATTCTGGAGCTGCCCCTGTGGTGTGAGAGTGGGGGGATCTCAGATAGGGTGGGGGGCTGTCTCAGCTAAGGTCTAGAGAGTGGCGGGGAATCAAGAGTGGGTGCGGAAAGGTTGAAATGGACACAATGAGTAGCCAGGATGAGACCCTCGGGGGTAGACTAGAGGACCCTTGCAGTCCCTTTTAACCTTCCGCACCTACAGCACCAGGCACTTCCCAGGCCTGGGGTTTCCTGATGCTGACAGACGGGAGCTCTCACATCTGGCTCAACGCAGTTCATGCAGGATAACGTTGCACCCCAGTGTGCAGAGAGGGAGGGATGGGGCTGTGCTCGGATGGATAGTGCCCTCTTCCTAATGGGAGCCTGTGCTGGCTCTACGGATGCTGGGCTGGATTCAAAAGCCCTCATTGTTCCCTGCTGCAGATATTTCTTCCCCTGAGCTGGAGCTGAGAAATTATTCTGCATGAGGAGTTATTGGACTGCGGACTCTAGCTGGACCCAGGGCCTCAGGATGTCCTGCTGGGCTTGGTGGGACCCACAGCTCCCGGTAGAGAGGGTTTTCCCCACTGTTGGTGCCTTCCTGTGAAACGCAGGCCAGGGGGAGCTCCCAAGGAATACCTGGTACTCTGACCACTAGGCCCGCTTCTCTCCCCACCTACTATCCCCTCCCAAAAATATGCCCATCTACACACAGGCACCACTGTGGCTTCATTGGTAACTGGGGGAGTGTGACTTTGCGAAGGAACTGCTCCCAGGAGTCCCAGGGCAGTGCTAGCCAGCTGGCTTATGCCAGTGCTAGCCTAGGGCTCAGCACCGCTTTGGAGGGGATCCTTCATGGGGGAATGGAGAACTGAGCCCATGAGGCTGAGGGATAGTCTCTTGGCCCATTGCTGCAAAACTAGCAAAAAAAGTCATAGAATCATAGAATATCAGGGTTGGAAGGGACCTCAGGAGGTCATCTAGTCCAACCCCCTGCTCAAAGCAGGACCAATCCCCAACTAAATCATCCCAAGTCAAGTCAGGGCCTGATTTTTCCAAGGACTTGAACACCCCAGGCACCCATAGAAGAGCCAGGCAGCTGTGAAAATTCAGGCACACGACAGCAACTCGGTAGCAGCTCGGAAATGGACTGGAGGAGCCCAGTGAGCCTCTTCCATTGCCACTTCCTCTGATTCAATGTGGTACATGCCAAGGACGGGAGCTACCACGGCACCAGCCCCCCTGCAAGGAGAAGACACCTCTGCATTGAAGCTCTTGGCATTCCTGGGACCTGCGCTGAGTCGCCCTCCCGGCAATGCTGCTGACATTCTTTCCGCCGCTGTTCATAAAAGAAAGGGCTCTGCGGGCTCCCCCACCCATGCGGGCCTGGGAAGAGATGAATGGAGAGTGAAAGGGAGCTTCCATTTTTGGAAGTGTGGCCCAAAATAGCTGTGATGGGCTGTGTGAGTGTGAGAGATGCTGGGCATGTGCGCTGTCCGCGAGCCAGGGACCGGAAGTGCAAGATGAGCCCAAATGGCCGTGAATAATGCTCATTCCCCGCTGGTGACATAACGTGTCCAGTCCTGGGCTCTGGGCTACATCCCAGATTCCTGATGTTTATATAAAACTGTGCTGAGAAACCCCACTGGCCTGTCCTGCAAGGGGGGAGCTCCTGTCCTGTCTTTCATCTCTGCATTGCTGACTGAGCTCACCTGAACAACGCCCGTGGCTCAGCGAGTCGGCCCTCCCGGCCATCTTGGTTCTCTTTGTCTCCTCTCCCGTGCAACTTCTCAACCCCCTTCCTCCCTAACTGAGCTTGGCAGCTTCCCCTGGCTCTTTCTGCTCGCACACAAACCCACCCCCTGCCCTTTGCGCCCCCTTCCCTCCCCCCCCCAGCAAGCTGGGGCAGCTGTGAAGGAGCCGTCGCTTTGAATCAAACGTGGGAAGCCAGACAAGCCAGGGGTGGAGGCAGAAGCCAGGACTGCACACCCTCTGGATTCTGACAAACTGCGGGTCTCCTTGCCGGTGCTGGGGAGACAGAGAGAGAACACTCTGCCTGCTGCCTTTCTGATGTGCATTGCAGAATGTGTGTGTGTGTGTGTGTGTGGGAGAGGGGATGGGAGACACTCTGGAGGCATCACTATGATTTTGGAGGAAGGCGGCTGTGGTTTTCTTCTCTCTTTTTCCAGCCCATTCTCCGTGGACAGTATCCTGATCAAAGTCTAGGGCGGTTTTCTTTCCCATGCCCCCAACATTTGGGAAAATCCCAATAACAGTGGCTGCATACAGCCCTCTCTGAGGTGCCACTGATTTTGGATCCTGCCCCATGGTAAATTTTGTTCCTTTTGGTGGTTTAGTTGTTAGCCCTGGGCTGGCCTTTAGGATAGAGAGGATGGGCTCATTTCACACTGTACAGGACAAGGATGAATCTGGCAGTGCTCCTACCCCTGCAGATTGTTAGAGTTGCCTGACTCTTCCCTTTACAAGACCCCGGGTTCCGTTGCTTACGTCTTTGCCAAAATTTAATAGTTTGGGCTGAAGTTTTCCAAGCCTGGTGTCTGCCTGAGGCTAAATTTTTTTTTGGAAAATTTCAGCCAAACCAGTTCAGCTGTTTCCAAGAACGAGGCTAGGGAAGAAATACATTGCTTTGCTGATGTTAAAGTCTGGTGATTGTTTTTTAAGACGTTCTAGCACCCCCATGCGTTGGAGCAGGGAGGTGCCCTTTGTATCAGGGATGTGCCTTTTGACATACCTGTGAAAATTGCCTGTATTTGGCCAAGTAATAAGCCTTTGAAAACTTGCAATTTGCTAATGCATAGTAGACTTGCTAGAGCCTCACAGCTTAATTCTCCAAAGAGTCCATCCTCTCTGAAAAGGCACCAGCCCGGCATTGAGCAGGACTTTCCCTGCAGTTGCAATTCCTGACTTCTGGGCCATGCTGGGTCTAGTCCAGGCCTAGGAAATTAGAGGATGCTTCTACATAACATCATGTGGAGGAGGACGCTGATTGAATCAAATGCAGAATGGACAAGAGTCAGACGTGGGAGACACAGGGGAGACTGGGACTGGAGGCTAATGGAGGGGCAGCTGATGGAGGGGGAGTGAGATGGAAACTGGCACTGGGAGTTGGATGGAGACTGGCACTAGCTGGACAAGGAGACTGGGTGGAAATGAGAGTGGCTGGCCAAAGAAATTGGGACTGAAAGCCAAGGAGGGAAATGGGTGAGGGGGCTGAGATTAGACTAGGGGAGACTGGGACTGGGAAACAGTAGGGTGGAAAAAAGAAGGTTGTGGGTGGGGGAGAGCTGATAAGAAGCCAGGGTCTGACTTGCAAAAGTGTGAGCACACTCAACTGCACCTGAAGTCACTCAGAGCGGTGCTTGAATGTGTCAAGTACTATGAGAAAACAGGTGATGGCTCCTCATCTCACAGGAGTGCCACGAAGATAAATGAATGTGTGTGGAGCACTCAGATACTGGAGTGCCCTAGAAAATCAATAGTTCTCCCTTCAGAGCAGGATTTGAATTGTGTGCTGTAAATAAGACCGAGGGCCACACATGGAATAATGAAGAGAAAACAAAATATTGGATAGCTGAGCAGTAAGTGAGCACCGTCCATCCTGGGCAATGAATGAGGCAGGGCTCCTGTGGAAAATTATAGCATGTGACAACATAATTAAAGACTGAATCATCATGTATGTGCCCAAGGGGGGGCTAAAATAAGGATGCACAGGCAACCGTAATGTTCTTTTGCTGTAGTTTGTGTGTGTGGAATATATAATTTTATTAATAAAAACTAACTCTTTTCATCCATAGATCTCTATGCAGGTCAGGATCATTACCCCTATTTTACAGATGGGGAAACTGAGTCACGGAGGTGCCGTGATTTGCCCAAGCTCACCCAGCAGCCAAATGGCTGAGCCAGAAATTGAACCCGAGTCTGCCATGTCCCAGTCCATTGTCTGATCCACCGGGCCACGCCGCCTCGGGGAGCTCCGTTTGCTCCGCACACGGTTCTCACCTCTGAACTGCTCTGCTCTTCATTCTCTCCAGGAGGAAGATCAAGACTGGGAAAAAGAGAGACTGGTGGTGAATGAACCAGATCTGGACAATGGTAAGTGCTGGCGAAGCAGCAGTTGGTGGGGGGGAAGGTGTGGATAGCAGCCACACTGCCAAGGGCCAGCTTGGGTCTGAGCTGGAAGCTCCTGAAGGCTGAGAGTGAAATTTCCCTCTTCTAGAGTTCTAGGAAAAACAGGAGACAAGGCCGGAGTGTCCAGGGTCATAAAACACAAGGAGGAAAAACTGTATTAAAAAACCCCCAACGCACATTGCGGGGCCTTTTTTCATACTCCATAAAGAAATAATCTGTCTGCTGCCCCCGCAAAAAAATAGAGTGGCAGGTGACACCCCCTCCACTGCTCCCCCATACAGATCACCTTTCAGTTTGTGGGGGGTGTTTCCTTCCACCCATAGGTGCTGGAAGTAGGGGTGCTGTGGGTGCTGCCATACCCCTGTCTTGAAGCGGTTTCCATGATAGGGTTTACGGTTTGTTTCAATGGCTCTCAGCACCCCCACTATACACATTGTTCCAGCACCCCTGCTTCCACCAGACCCAAGTTGTGTGCAAACACACTCAGTGCTGCAGTAACACAAGGGGCATCGGGCTTTAAGTGTGCACAGTACAATCAGACCATAGGGAGCGGTAGGGGGTGTTCGTCAGACTGACAAATCTCCGTTCTTGGGACTTAGGTCTCTGTCCCTTTAAATTCCCAGCTGGCAGAGAGAGTGGAAAGAGAAGGGAGGGCTGCAGGAATGCAATGGCCTAGGCATTCCTCGCCCTGCTCATTGTGTGCCAGGCACAGAGTCTGGGGTGGGAGGGCCTGTTCTAGGACAATGCTGGGGGACCAGGGCAAGGTTGTCACTTGCTATAAATACAGCCCCTGGTCAGCAAGGCCTGGAAGCTGCTCAGCTGCAAGCCTCCGGGGGAAGGCTGGGGATTAGCTCCCCTCAGCAGCTGACGGCTTCCTCTTCCTCCTGATTATTGAGCTGTTAATTCATTCGGCTGGGCTAGAGTCAGCGGAGCACAAAGAACAGATAGCATCACTGGCATTTGTCATTGCGGCAGCAGCCTGGCAGGCCCAGGCGGGGGAGGGGGACCAGGATAAGCCATGCTGCTGCTGGGTTCCGCGGTGCAGAGAGGATGGAGAGCTGAGGACAGGCCAGCAACGTATCAACACAGCTGCCTTAATCCTTTTAAGACTGCGTGTGGCACCGGCTCTTGTGGGTTCCTCTCACCTCCCCTCTCCTTGCATTGCTTTCACCCCAGCAGCCCCCTCCCCAACCTGATAACAGATGTGCTGCGCCTTCTGCCTCCGGCCGTTGGCATGACACGAGAACAAAGCCTGCCAAAAAGCTCCTTGAAGGCACCGGGAGATCTCCAGAGGGTTTAGCTAGAGCTGTGTTTAACTGATTAGTCAATTACTTTATTAGAAAATGATTAATTGACTAATTGGGACAACAACCAGGAACCTTGCTCATAACTCCCCCCACACACACAAACACACATCCCAAAACCAATGATGACAGGCAAGTGTGTGTGTTGACCAGGAGACAGTCCCACAGCAGCACCACGGTCAATGTGATGGCTTCCAGAAAAGCCTCCATCCTGGGGGGCTAGAGTGGTAGGAATCCCTCCTCCCTGTCCCACTTCCTTGCTCGCCTTTACAGCCCCCCGTCACAATCCCTCTGGCGCAGGAGGCTTACGATGAATGCTAATAGGCAAACGCTAATCCTTGCAATGTGCCTTCAAAGCAGGGAGCCGCTATCACCATTTCATAGAAAGGGGTGTGTGGGGGACAGAGCCTGGCACTGCGAGCTGGCCTGACTTGCCCCAGGGGAACACAGCCAGTGGGTGGCGGAGCTGTGACTAGAACCCAGGTATCCTGACTCCCAGTCTAGGGCGCATGCCACTCAACTGTGTTGTCTTTTATCCTGACAAATTCCCTTCACCTCCTGCAGACCTTCAGTGCTACTGTATGAAATGCAGCTGCCTCTGGGGTGGGAGAGGGCACACAGCAGGCCACACATGGCGGGGGAGGGGAGTTTGGGCCCAGGATCCTGCGGCAAACTGCTCTTGCAACCAGTCTGTTGTTCAAACTGTACGAGAGCCCTACCAGCCAGCCTCAGAAGGAGGTCAGCCTGGGCTAAGGACACTGGGATTGGAACCTGTGCTACCAAGGAGGAGTCAGAGCTCTGGCAAACCCACGCTTGGAGTGGGGCTGAATTAGGAGTCCCTCTATTGGCCATTGGCACCCCATTTTAACTGGCTAGTGGGGTCAGTGTTGAGGGGCTCAATGATCTTCCCTATCTTCTCACACCTGGAAAAAGCACCCCCTCCTCCTGCTCTGGGCTGACTGCGCTGCCCCAGTCCCTGCAGCGCCAGGCTCCAGGCACGATGTCTTCTCCAGGCCGCCTGCCTGGCAGTACCTGCTGCGTTAGCAATAGGCTGCCACACCGGCTTGTTTTGCTAAATGAGGGCCTTTGCGATGCTGTGCCCCCGGCCAGCATTACGGTAAAGGATCAAGGCTCCAGCCTTTTCCAAGCTGTAAAAATTCTCTTGCTCAGTTCTCCTCCTTTCTGCCTTCAAGAGCATTGGGCCAACATTAACAAAGCGCTTAGGCCGAGATTTTCCGCGCTAAATTCCTCTGGCTCAGTTCTAAAGCTCAGCCACGGAAACTGATCGGACTCGCACTAAGCTGCCCATCTCCAGCCTCTGCATTTCCCTTCCCAAACTGCTGTTTGCTCGGGCATTCACCCGGCGGGCTCTGGCTTGGGTTCTTCAGTGTCGGTGACATTGTCGTTGTCATCCTTATTTTATTAGAAGAAAAGAAAAAACAGAACCTGAACCGTTTTCTCTCTTCTGTTTTTTTCCCTCCTCCCCTCCTTGTTCAGTGGTAAAAGGGAAAAAGGAAGTGAGATGGGTAACCCCGTTCTGCCTGCCTGAATTCCTCCAGCAGTTTGAAATAGATGCTATGATCTTCAGTTCCTGTCCTAAACTGTATTGCTGGGTGCTGTTAAAGTGTTACTGTGTTCCATCCCTGAAGTGGCTGCATTTCAGGGTTAGGTTAAATGATCCCTTCTCCACTACTGGCATGGGGAGGCAGCGGGAGTTGTGAGGCTTAACTAACTATCCTGTCCTTGGATAAATGGTACTGTAGACATGCAGGCTGCAATTCATTCCCTTTTAAAGGAATGTTCTAAATAATTCAGGCATTTTAATGGGCTGGATAAGATGATGACTCAGTCTGGCCAGTGAGGATACTAAGCCACGTGAATGCATCTAATATAACCACAAGGGTCTCAGATTGCTAGTCAGCTACCTTTTTATTTCTTTAATGAATTTTCCATCTAAGCACTTATAGGACCTCCATTGCAGTAGTGCCTGAGCACTTCACACTCATTAATGAATGCATCCTCACATTTTCTGTGAGGTGGGAAAGTATTATTGTCCCCATTTTACACATGGGGAAATTGAGGCACTGTGCGATTAAGTGATTTACCCAAGAACATGCAGGGAGTCTGTGGCAGAGCCAGGAATAGCATTCAGGTCTACCTAAATACTAGTTGGATGGCCTAAACACAAGAACATTCTTTCTGTTTTCTTTCAAGAAGTAAAGTTGTACAGAAACCTCTGGGGAGCTGGCAGGTTCCTGGAGCTAGAGCCAAGGTGTCTGGTAGAGAAGGAAGCACTGGGTGTGGAGAGGTAGATTTGAATTAGGACTCTTTTCTTTTTACAAAATGACAGCCAGTAAGAAAATACCCTGCAAACCCAGTGTCTTGGCAACCAATGCAGACATTGGCGGGGGAAATACACAAGACAAATGTCTTTTTTAAAACTCACCTCACGGCTGTTCTATTTAAGTAGGTCACTTTATACTCTTAAATATTTTGCAGTTCATGGGAAAAATCATGCCTAGAATTTTCAATATATTTCCTGAAGTTTGTCTCCACTCTGAAGAGAGAGAGAGCCCTTGAGCACTGAAAACTTCCAGCTCTTCCCTTCAAAACCGACACGCACACGTTGGCAGGCAGATGGGCGGATGGCTATTCCCCTTTCCCTCAATTTCTAGAGTCCCTTCTTCATTCTGATCTGAACAGCCCCTATTCGGAGAGGGAAAACCAGCTTGGTTTTCTGTCGAGCAAAAAATGTTAAGAATAAAGATTTCTGATGTGAAGGGCACAGATGAAGCCTGACTCTCCTTTCACGTACCTTAGTGAAACGCCACTGACTTCAGATAAATGACTCCTGATTTACGCCAGTGCAAGTAATAGGAGACTCGAGCCTAATATCTCCCCGAGCAACAACCAGTTAAAGGCACATTTCAACAGCACTTTTAAGGCCTGGTTAACTGAGCCTAGTCTCTGTTTGCTTCCAGTTGATCAGGCTTGTTTGCCTGCCAGTGCGGAGCTTTGTCCATTGAGGGAAATGAGACTTTATGGAGCTGCGTTTTCTGGGCTGTGACGCGAGGGCACTGTGACAGGCTTAGGTTTGCTGAGCTCTTGGGTGATGGGTGTAGCTTTTCACAAGAGGCCAGACAGCGGCTTTTGTTTTCACTCCAGCGCTACAGGGAAGTGATTAGCCCTTGATTCGGGACCTTCCCCACTGGAAAACTGACCCGGATCAGCAGTGTGAGGCTTGTTGACACGCTGAGGTGCAGCGACTGGGGAGTGAAATGTGAAATATTTGTGGAGGCGGGGGGGGGGGTGAGGAGAAGCTCTGTCTGGGAACCTCTGTTTCCTGTTAAGTCGGCAGTTTTAACAGGTTTGTACCGGTAACCATTGGTTCACACTAAATCCTGGATGCATGCTCTGTGGGATATTTTTTGCCCTAGCAATGACTGTCATGTAATAAACAGGACACCTGGGTTCTATTTCTGGCTCTGCCTGAGTGGCCGTGGGTGAGACCAGGTGGGTGAGGTATTGATATCTTTTACTTGACCAACTTCGGTTGATGAAAGAGACAAGCTTTTGAGTTACACAGACCTGCAGAAGAGTTCTGGATAAGCTCGAAAGCTTGTCTCTCTCACCAACAGAAGTTGGTCCAGTAAAAGGTATCACCTCACCCACCATGTCTCCCTAATATCCTGGTACCCACATGGCTACACAACACTGCAAGTGACCTTCGGCAAGTCATTTCACATCTCAGTTTCCCCACCTGTAAATTGAGGCTTGTACTTGCCTGCCCCATGGGTATGCTGAGGCCTGGAAAGTGCTTGACGCTCAGCTGTGGACAGAAAAGCAATGTGGTGGCAGTTTTTGACCTCTGTTTTTCCAGCCCTTGAGCTTGGGAAGTAGGAGAAAATAGCTTGATCAGGCATGGACAAGAGGATTAGCAAACAAAGCCTGGATCCTTCCAAGGTTCAAAAGTTCTCTCTTTCTTGCACTAGCTAGGGCAGGTTCCAGGGATATTTACAACACCCCTAGTCTGTATCCTTCTCCTGTGCCGGAAGGAGCCATGCTAGAGTATCTGGCAAGAGGCAATATGGCACTATGGTCCCTGGAGTGTCGACTTTATCTCAACACAACCGCTAGATGTTTTATTTATTTGTTATAAAGCCAACAAATATGCCCAAGCCCCGGCCCTCCTGGGATGCATTTTGGGCTGACTTCGTGCAGGAAGATAACCCCGAGGAGTGGTTTAAAAATAAACAAAGAGCTCGAGCAAAATCTGCTTGGAGAAGCTAAAGCTCTGGCTCCACATCTGTGAGCTACAGAGCTTTAATTAGCACAGAGATGTGATCTAGGGGCTTGGGCAGAGGAGAGAACGCCTGCAATAGAGCAGTGGTTTTCAACCTTTCATTTGCAGACCCCTAAAAAATTTCAAATGTAGGTGTGGACCCCTTTGGAAATTTTAGACAGCCTGTGGACCCCCAGGATTGAAAACACTGCGCTCTAGCAAAGGGATGCTACCCAAACAGGTTAATAAAGAGGATCCTTTTCCCGTTGTGTCTATCCATTGGCCACAGAGGGACTTCAGCACCACTGTAATCACAACTGTTGATCCGGTCGAGAATGCTTTGGACCATCTCTGTTTGCAGCCCAGGAGTTTGCCGCATGGTGTCTCCCTTTCCCAAAACCATTTCTCAAGCTTTCTTGCAATGCTCCTGGCTGCTGGAATGTTGTGATTTCAAAGCCCGGGGCACGGCCAGGGTGACTGGACCATCGTGAGTTTGAATAGATTGTGTGGCACATGCCCAATGTGCTTACAGCATGGTCTCCCGAGCAATTATTCACAAACCCAAAGTATAAGCACGGGGGTCCTAGTTCCTGGGGAAGAGGGGAAAGGAATGTCCAGACAGAAATAGAGATGAATTCTGCAGGCTAATCAAAGTGGAGGTTACCATCCTCCTGCTAAGCCCAATGAGTCTCCAGAGCTCTGACTCCACGGGAGAGAAATAGACCAACAAGGTCCCTATGCGCTAGAATTTAAAGAGGATAGGTCACTAACGATGGACCACAGATTGTTGCCAACTCCAGGTGAGTCGGGCAGACTCAGTGACGCCAACATTGGAGAAGGACCAAGCTGGGCTTGTAAAGAGCTGCTCTAATGGGAACTCTAATGGGACATGTGTCTCTCCTTCCCCAAGACCTGAAATACGCATTGCTACAAAAACCACCACTGACCCATTTTGGCGTGTTGAATCTTCTTGTTCTCCCCTGCACCCTCAAAAACAAAACAAAACCCAACTGCAGTCTTGAAAGATAACTTGAATAGACTCTTTGGAATACTGTAACTGAAAAATGAAGAGACTGTTCAATTAGCGTTCTTTATTTCTGTGCTCAAATATATTGACTTAATTTTTATTGCCAGTTTACAGGATTGTTAATAAGTGTGAGCATTATTGATCCTTTGAAGAAAAAAACAACCAGCATTAGATGGTTGTGGTGATAGTCGGCTGTAGGTAGGACTCTAAACCTCTCCCCGAATGACCAGGCCGGGGTCTTGTTACAGGTACCGTTGGTCTTCCACTGGAATCATGTAACTTTGTTGAAGATGGTATTGTCTCCAATTGGTGTTTAGCTGTCAAATGTGCTTCCAGGGTGCTGCATGTCCCACTCTAGGGTGCGGAGGGAGGAGCGCGAGGGATCCATCCATCCCATTGGCCGCCTGCCAGAACTCACCGGGGTCTCCTTTCTCACATGACTGCTCTCTCTCTCTCTCTCTCTCCAGCAGCGGACGAGAAGATCTCCTTTAAATACAGCCCCGGAAAGCTGAGGGGGAACCAGTATAAGACAATGATGACCAAAGAAGAACTCGAGGAGGAACAAAGGTACATTGAGCTTCCTCTTACTTTTGGGCACAAGGCCCCTTGCGGCCATCCTCTTGCAGCACAGTGTCGATTTTAACCCCTCCCTTCCATGAGTCACAGCAGAAGCTGTGGTGTGAATGTCTGGCCAGTGCATTTGGTCTGGCCCTGTCCCTTTCAGAGAGGCTGGAGAGCTGTTAGAAGCAACTTGGACTTGTAAGGCCGGGAGACCATGACACTGGGTTCCCTTGTATCTGTTCAAGCTCCTTCTGTAGACATTCTGGGTCAGATCCTCAAAGGTATTAGGTGCCTAACTCCCATGGAAATCAATGGGAGTTAGGTGCCTAAATACCTTTTGAAGATCTGGGCCTCAGAGGCAGATCCTCATCTCCTGTAAATCGGCACAGCTCCACCGAAATCAAGGGCCAGATCCTCGTCTGGGGTAAATCAGCATAGCTCCACTGACTTTATCAGAGCCATGTTGATTTAGTCCCGCTGAGGCTTTGGCCCCCACCTACCTTTCTCTATCACTTACCTGCTGTGTTTTCATGGAAGGTCTCAGAAATGAGGGTGTTCAGAGACTGACTAAAACCCAGAGATTTTGGAACCCAGAAGTTAATATAGGGCTTTAGTAGTATTTTCCATGAATACAATAAGGTTGTGCCCTGCAGCCTGAATGTAAAGGGATAGTAATAACCATTCAAGTCATTGTAAAATTACATGAGACAATCCTGTGGTACAACCCGGAGAGGGCAGGGGAGAACAGAGAACCTGACATTATGAAGTGCTGAGCACTCACAAAATCGAATGAGGTCATTGGAAAGCGCAGGTACTCGGCAGCTATGAAACCCAGGCCCCAGATGGCCTAGTGGCTTTTTCCCACCTCTGATTTCTGTGGATCAAGTTCACAGTTGCTTGCTGAGAAGGCCTGAAGTTTGCTGCTCCTCTAGAATTCCAGCTTTTTGTTGTATCCACCAGGCAAAGTATTAACAACTTCAACAGAACTTTATTTACAGTGGAAGTCTCTTTTCCAAGCTGTAGCTGCACACTCTGTAACTCTCCCAGCCTCCTCAACTCCTCCCCTCCCAGTTCTAATAATCACATGCAGCATCTAAACACCACACTTTTCAAGGCTCTTTATGCCCCAGGGCTTGCCATATTTTCATAAAATGAACTTGGCAGATTGAGTTGCCGTCTTGCAATCTGATAAAGCCCAGACTAAGTCCCCACACCAAACCACAGCTTGTGTATAAAACCCCATTTTGAATGAACCGCTGCTCTCAGCTCAGTGACTATGAGCAGTGGCACCAATTCAGATATTTCTTAGGCGAGGCAAATTCCATGTCCTCCCTTCCCCTCCGCCCCCCAGCTGGGACCCTGTTCCAGTCCCAGCTCATCCCATCCCCCCCTCTTGTTCCTCCTCCCCCCACAGAGGCCCCGGGTCTCCCTCAGCTGGGGAGTCTCCTCTCTTTCTTACCCACTCAGTGCATGAGCTGGTGCTGCCAGACGTCAAGTTCTCGGTGACTCCTCTGCCACTCCGCAAAACAGGAAGAGACTTCCCGTGAGCCAAGTTGCAACACCATTTGGCCCAGCCCCCATGTGTCTGTGCAGAGGGGTGGCTAGGCCAAAATTGAGTAGCGTCGCAACCCCATGCGCCAGGTCACAAAGCCTCTCGTGGGTCAGTTTCAGTGGCACTGTGACCATGCAGCCGAAGCAATGTTCCATACCGCTCCAGCACAGCTGTATGATTTAGTACCAAACCACTGCTTAAAAACCACTGCATGGTCAGGCCATGACCCGTCTGCCTCTGCAGCCTAAGAAATTTTGAGCAAGTGCAAAAACCTTGGGGATGGGGGGCCTTCTCCCTTCTCCCCCTCCCTCCCCCCCGAGCCAGTCCCTCCTAGGTTCCACTAACTACTAGCGAACTAGTGTGTACATTGCTGTACATCAGCTCTATGGGGCTTCTCTGCTGAGACTGCATTCTATTAACTGCAGTATGTTCTTAACAATTACCTCCAGACAGCGTCTAGAGTGGTAACTACCGGTACTGTACCCTGCAGTGCTACCCACCCAACTTCTGCGGTTCCCTTTCATTCAGGCCAGGGGAGAAGTTTTGCCTTACCTCAAAACAACAGAGCCCAGACTTTCTCCCTTCATAAGACAACATACTCTGGGGTTTTTTACCCATCACCTTTTCAGAACTCTGATGAAAGTTGCTTCGCTGATGAATTCTCAAAGGCTGCCTAAGGGACTCTTGTCTCCTAGACTGTTCATTCCTCTTCAGATGACTATCTCCACTGTGAAAGCGCGCGCACGCACACGTACGTCTCTATCAGCTGTCGGATGGACTGAATTTTCTTGGGACAATTACAGTGGAGTAAAGTTTTCCAGGCCCAGTGTTTTGGGTCAATGCCATGGTGGCAGGTCTGATATAAAAGCCTATGGTACAGCTATAGTTACTAAAGACTTGAGTGAAGTGAAGGAAGTTTTATACCCTTATCACTGCATCGCAGACTTAGCAGTTAGGCAAATTTAGCGTCAGGACCTTTGTGATTCCTGCTGTTCGGTGTCCAGGGTTGGGGATAATGCTGGTTTTCTAACTCACTAGCTGCCAGGGTAGTGGGTTAGGCAGCCCTCTTCCATTGCTAATGGGTTGGCCTTCGTGATGCGGCGAGTGGGGGTTCAAATTGTTGTCCTTTCACTATAAAGTTGTCTTCCCCTATGCTATAGCGAAGCAAATATCCACCTCTGCTTCTGTAGTGGAAGCCCTGGAGCCTGATTCTCCATTGCCCTGCACATTGAGTAATCACGTACGCTAGTGCAGAGTGGGCGGAAAAAGCTGCTCAATCAGAAGGGTAACATTTTACACCTACTCTGTACTGGTGTAACTGCCTGCACAGAATGCAGGGCAAGGGAGAAGCAAGCCCTCTGTTTTATCCCACTGCCTTGTGTGCTGGGGCATGGGGGAGCGGTGGTCTGGTGAGGACCTGTTGAAGGCAAATTGGGAACTTGTGACACAGCCAGTCTACCAGAGGATCCAGCCCAAGACGTGTGTCATAGGCCAGGTTCCCCTGGTCTTGGGAGATAAAACAGAAGGCTGATGAATCATAGGTTGCTGCCATCTTGATCCTGGCAAAGCTGAGCTGGAACCAACCATCTTATGGGATTTTCCCCTCAGGAACCCTCTGAGACTGTCTCGTCTCATCATGAGATCCTAGACATCATCCTTTCAGTGCCAAGCAGTGAGGGAGGGGCCTCGCTGGCTTTGAGGAGGTAAAGGAACAGTGAATGACCTGCTGTGCTCCTAGTCTCCTAGAAAACTGACATGTCCGCCTTGTAAAACGCACCTTTGGGATGAGATGGGCCCAGTTCAGTTGGTGATGTGTCTTTCTGGGCATGAGGGTTGTAATGTTAGGGGAAGAAGCGCAGGATAAACTCCTGATTGCTGGGCTATGTGCAGAGAATGCCTAGCACTACCAAGCCCCCGCCCAAACAAGAAAAAAAACACTCACTAGGATTCCTGCTGAGTGCCCTGAAGTTAGGTTCCCATGAGTGAGCCTTGCTTTCCCCTGGCTGCATACCCTTTCCATCTCACTGGGTGGAGATCACCTTTAACTGTTACGTTGCACTGAAGTTAGAAACCTTCAGGTTACCTTGCAGCCCGATGGCATTTTACCCACATCCTTCTTACTGGCACATTGGAAAAGTGCTGTAGTCAGAAGAGTGACTCTCCGTATAGGTGACACTGTGGGGTTCTGTATTTAGTTTTGCTCCAGATCAAACTTGCTCCATTTATAACTCAGCAGAGGATTTCCACTCCCCCTGTGCCCCAGAAGCTTCAAACTTCCCTGGGGATCTGAGAGTCAGGCTGGGCTCTTTCTGTCTTACGCCATCATCAGTCGTAAAGAATCTGGAACAAAACTTTGTTGCTAGTTTTGTTGCTGATCCATGAGGCAGAACAGGCACCAGTTAGCTCTGCTGTAGCTGTAGTGACCCTGTATTGGTGACAGCAGTAAAAACTTGATTTGCGATTCCCCTTTCTTTATATTTCTCTCCGCACCAAACTCTCCACTCACTAACCTGTAGCAAGTTGGTCATGTCTGGTTGCTTCATCTCATCCTTTCCACTCAGACAGAGCCCTTATAGACAAGTCCTGTAGAACTGAAGTGAATGACACCAATAGGGTTCTATAGAAATTACTCTTGGAAAACCTATTCAACCGAAAGACTATCCTACTCTACAAGTGTTTAAACCAACCTCTATCGTACTGTGTGCTCTAGCTCAACCAAAAGTTATGGGCTGGATGCAGGCATTGTTGTTTGAAGTTATGGCCTGGAATTCCTGTTCTGCAAGAGGTCAAACGAGATGATCATCATGACCCCTTCTGGCCTTAGAATCTGTGGCTGAAATCCTCGGCCACTGAAGTCAATAGGAGTTTGACCATTGACTTCAACAGGGCCAGGATTTCACCCTGTGAAACTATTAATTCTGGAGAAAGGTTGATTCTACAGGATGGCTTCCTCATCAGGTGCATTGACACCCGACCCCAGCCTTCCGGGCACACACAGGCTCCAGCATCTATTTCCATTTTAGTTCCTTTTTAAAGGGGTTTCCTGTGGGGTATCGTCACACCTAGAACCTGTCGAGAACACCTGGAGTTGGCTCTTCCACTTGGGGGTTCTTTTCAAAGTTCTGCTCAGCGTTCCATGTGAAGGGACATTGGCCGACTGTTGTGTTTCTCCTAACAGCTCCTTTATTTTCTTGTCAATGTTCCATGTTTCTGTGTGTTTGTCAGAAGCTTGTGTTTTGTTTCTGGTTTCTTGTTCTCTGGAGCTCGGCTGTGGCATCAGCAACTTTTCATTTCAGGCTTCACAGCTTCCTCTTCTCTAGCTGCTTTATTGGGGCAGAGCTGCCCGCAGGTAAGATGCTAAGCAGATCAGTTGAGAGTAGCAGTGCAGCTCAGCCTCCCCCTTCGTCCTGCCTCATACCCCTTTATGTCCCCCACCCCCGCTGCCAGGCACCTC